GGGCGTCACAGGGGGCGGGACCAGCGCGACCAGCGCCCTCCTGCGGGCGGGAGGAGCAACCGCGGCCGGGCGGGGGCGCTGGGACACGGAGTCGGGGGGAAGCGGGAACTCTGGATTGTTGGGAAAATAGTGGAAGGGCTGCCCAGGGAAAGGGTGGAGCCACCATCCCTGGAGGTGTTTAGCAGGTATGTAGATGTGGTACTGAAGGACATGGGTTAGTAACCCAGCGGTGCTGGGTTAACTGTTGGGCTTGGCGATATTGAAGGTTTTTCCCAAAAGAACAATGTTGGGGCCCTGGCTGTGCTGAAAGATTATGAGAAACTTTAGATGAAAACATCAGGCAGCTGGAGGAACAGGGAAGGTCATTCTCGTGGGAACTAGTGAGGCTCTGGTATGTGTAGTAATCAGGTAGTAAGGTAAACAGGTAAAGGGCTTAAAGTAGTGACCAATCAAAAGGGGAATGGGGATGTGTGAACAATGTATATTAACCAATTAAGAGCTTTACTTTGCTGGATGGACAGCCTGCACACTGTCCTGAGACTATATAATCTGCACGCAGCTAAATAAACTTGGACTGAACTAACATCACATTGGTGTGCAGTATTCATTCCCAGCACGCCACAGATACGGACCACGGCAGAACAAGGTTGAGGGCAGAGGGGGCAAGGCTGGCACCCCCGGCCCGGCCAACGCCGCGTTAACAGGTGTAGTGGACATGAACAACTCTGCAAAGGACTCCACGCAGGTCAGTGTTCAGACACCCAGAAGGTGCATTTTATTGCAAAGAAAACAAAACCACAACCCTGTTGCTCCCAAGGCCAGACACAAGTGCTTCTAAGTGTTCTCCGGCAGCAATGCCGAGCAGTGGCCAGAGCCTGCAAACAGTTTAGGTCCAGCAGGAACAAGGGTGTTGAGAAGATCAGCTGGGAGCCTGGCTGCCAGCTGAGAAAAACACACAAGGCTTTTGTGAGCCAGCACAGATGAAGGTGGCTGTTGTCACTGACTCTGTGAGCTGTCCCAAACCCTATGTGAAGCACAGATGTGCTCCTGCATGGCTGTGAAGATGGACAGGAACAGACAAGCTGCTGAGAGCACTGGCTGCTGTGGGATCCTGCTGCTATGCTCCAAGGTCATCCTGTAATAATCCATATGATAAAGTACCTCCATTCCATACTGCATCCTTTGCCAGAGGGATCCTTACGGTGTTATCTTGAACTGTATTCTCAACTTGCATTACATACTCCACTGGGTCATTTCCCATTGTTTCTCTACACCCCACGTACCACAAGGCTGTCTGCAGGATGCCAGCTTCAATCGTGTGTTGGACTCCACATTACAGGTGCTCTTCTAGACATCTATACAACATCTGGGAGTAAACTGCAGCTTGGCTATCCCAGCCCACATCTGGTCACCATCCCACAGAGATGGAGAGTCACTCTGGTCTTGGCCACGCATCCAGTTGATGCCATCGCCAGCATTCCCCAGGGTGCAGATCTCTTTGCACCTGATGCTCTCTCTGAAGAGCCTCCTCTGTTTCAAGCCAGAGCCTCTGGTTTCTGACCAAACACCCCAAGAAGAAAGGGGGCAAGTGGAGGAGAAAGGCAGAAGATGGAGCTGAGACCCTGTATTGTAACCCAGGGCCTCCAGACCATTCCAGGGAATGTCCCATCCCATTACTTTGGGGGGGGACACCCTCACATCATCCATCCCTTATGTGCTTGGTGGGAGCCCCTCTGTTCACAGCCCCCTGCAAATAAAGCAAGTCGCTGTTCTAGGCAGGTCACAGGAAACAGATACACAGAGCTCAGAGGTGGGTAAAAAAAAAAGTCCTTTCTTTCAAACTTTTCGTCTCCAATTCCCAGCAGCCACCAGGTGTCAGTGCGATCAAATGTTTGGTAGATGGGACTACAGTGAAGTCCGAATAGGTGGAAAATGGTTTTTCAGGAATCACTTTGTCTCCTGCATCTGCTCTGTTGCCTGGCACACTGCCCTGAGAAGTCCAGCTTTGACAACTTTGTTAAAAAGAAGTTTTACTACATTAAGGAGATAGAAAAGCTTCCTGTTACAAATGCTAAGACAAAGTTCTCTTCTTTAAATCCTCCCTATACAGAGCTGGAAACCCAAGCACTGCCCGACAATGAAGGTGTGCTTTCAAGAGACTCTCTACAGTGCTCCCCAGTCTGCAGAGAAGTTTCCAGAGTTCCCCAGTTTCCAGAGAAGATCCGTGTCTGCAAGGCTGGCAGGAGAGGGACAACAGTGCAATCGACTTAACAAGATCAGCCTAGTGCAAAAAATTATACAGAGAAAAAGCAAATGGTAAAGGTATAAAAAGTATCACCAGACTAAAGTGAAATACTATTAACCAGTAGATTTCTGGAGCTAAAATGAGATCATACAGTCAGGTGCACCTTGTCAGAGACAGCAGAAAATTGTTCTCAGCCTCATGACAGCCACCTTGAGACTCTCAAGATCGCCTGGATGCTCCAGACACATGAGAGTACTTGGCAGCCTCTGGAAAACCTTCAGGCCATAAAAAGCCAGAAGAGCAAATCAGGAGAACTTGCTAGCTTTTTAATAAGTCTGCATAGCCCCCTTGTTGTTTGTTTTAAAGTTTGAAAACTTCACACTAGATCAGCAGGTGCTGAGCCCAGTCAGAGCATTGCTTTATCAGCACCTTGTTGCTTCTCTGAATCAGTAAAGAGGAGAGACAAGAGGGCAGCAAAGCAACTCCTAGCAATGAAGTGCAACAAAGAAATGTTCTGTGGGTGAAACAATTCACATCTGATTGGTGGGATTATCCTTTTAATAGCAACTGGGCATTAAAAACATATTAAGATTATTGGACTAAGAAACACTTATATGGTGAACTGACTAAAGGCCACAGCCAGGCCTCCTTATGCTAAGTGCTATACAAACTCGAATTTTAACTCCATGCTTTACTTTACTCACCATGACAACAAGTTGCATTTAACCCTGCGGGTCCCAAAGTGCCATGAACAGAGGGAGCCACTGATCTTGTGCGGTTTAACTGCACAGACCCATCCAACTCAGCAGGAGGGGTGGTCAGAGAAGGGCCATGTGTGGCTGTCCACATACACGGACTATCCCCCATTATGAATTGCTGGGGCAGGAGAGGGATCTCCTCTGAGCATCTCTGCAACCCTACCAACATGATACAACTAGAGCTGATGGTCACCATCTCCTCCGTGACACAGGGAAAGGTATGGAGGCAGGACAGACACACTGAAAACTGGAATCTGATTGGAAACCAAAGGCTACCACCCTTCTTGAACACCTAACAGACTGTTGTCAATGTGGTCCTACAGTGAGGTGATCTGTGATCCAGTTTGTATGCAAAACGCTATGCAAAATGAAACAACAGACTCTTGTACCTTGACTTTAGGCACTCGCATCAGGGATGAACATGCTAAAAATATCTATACACACAGGGATAGATTTACAGGCTTGGCATCAGGCTGCCTATCTGGAGTCTTTCTGTACAAAGGTTCCCCTAAAGACCAAATGCAAAGCTGCAGCTTGCAGTAAGCAAGCATGCAGATCACCATAACAGAGAGGAAAGCTGTTGCCTCTGGCCAAAGCAAGTCCCTCAATCCTTCGATGACAGAAGAAACAAATGTTCTGGGATTTCAGACTTGACAGTAGTTCTGAGTTTGGGTTTAGGCAGGGCTCAGAGAACAATTATGCACATTCACGTGCCTTTCATCACAAGCCTCCAGAGAGCTGGAGCCTCAAAGTTGCCTGAGGCATGCCTGAGACAAGTTCATTGGGGAGCTCTTAGATCTGATTCTCATCTCATCTGCACTGGCTTTTACACTTGCTTGATTTTAAAGATGTTACCCCAGTTTACACCTATGTGACATTAAACGCTTCCCTCCCTCCCCCAGGCAGGATACTGAAAAGGAAACAAAGGACCAGAAAACTATTTGAATTTGCATTTTTCTCCGTTTTAAAAGTCTCACATTGTCTTTACACTGATCTCAAAAAAGACCAGCTGAAACCAAACTATGGTGAAGAACTGAAGAGGATTGAAGAAGGCCTGCCAGTTGAAAACTGAGACAAGGGATACTTTGCTGCTGATTTCACAGGCTGTTGCGTGAGAGGCAGGTACATTCCCTTTTTGAGGAACTCTCCAAACTAAAGCAAAATTTCCAGCTTAGATGCTGCACCATGGCACCAAATCCTCTGCAATCAGTCAAGGAAGGGTAAAGTGCTCAAAATTTGGAAACTCAGCTTGGAGTTGTGGAGCTGAAAAAGGGAGTGGGGCTATTTGTGGTGCGAGGAGAGAAATGAGATGACAGCAGGATGTTTTCCCCAAATGTAAACATCAGCCCAGCTAATTAGCAGCTGAATACTAGAGCACTAAAAAAAATAAATCTTTTCACACATGGAATGCAAATTCTGCTCAGGATATTGACTGAGCCTTGACTCCCCTCCATCCAGAATGCACACATTTTACTGCACCTGCAGGGACTGAACATGATCTCAATGTCAGGATCTGGCTGCTGTATCTCCAGGTGCACTGCCAAAGTGAATTTACTCCCCAGAGATGGACTCTTGGTGGCAGACTTTGTCTCACCACCTTGCTTCTCAAGCCCAGCCACTCTCAGACACTACCAAAGAGCTTCAGTAAGTGCATTTAAAGGTGATGAAAGTATTGGTGCTACTGACAGGAACACACACAAAGACCTACACACCCACCCCTCCCACTTCCCTCCATCCAGTGATCCTCCTGGCTCCAAGCTTCAGATGCGTGCTCAGGACTTCCATTGTGAAAAATTGCACAAACACTTGACCTGTCTCAAGCCTTTAAGAAGTTCCTGAGAAGCGACCTGATCCCATGGTCCATAGTCAAGACAGGAAAGAGACAAGTGTATTTAAGGGGTTGGTTCCTTCCCTTCTTTTTCTAAAGATGCGTGTCTTCCTCAAACACATCCACATCCTCGCTTGCCTGCTTACTGATCAGAACATCCCAGCTGTCGGGGCCGTTGATGGTTTTTCCACCATTCACGCTTGGCTTCTTCTCCTGCATTTCTGACTGGCTGTCACTGGCTACATCCAAGGTGGGGTTGTCATGGCAGCCATTCTCAACAAAGCGCAGCTCCTCACCATGCGACTGCAAAGGGGGAGAGGAACACAAATGGAGACAAAAGGACAGGTCTCAATGCTGCAGAAGAAGCACAATCAAACCAGGCTACCAGGGTCACCAAGAACATTGCAGGGTTAGTGGGAAAAGGTAAATTTGCTCCTAGGCCAGCCCTCCCAGTGAAAATGAACCGTCCTGAGCACAGCAAGAGACAGGTGTGCATCTCTCCCACCCCTGAATGGGCTCTCTTGCTGCTCCAGCTGTGTAGCCAGCTACATTTCCCCCTGTCCACTTACTAGACAATCTCCCTCTTAGCTTTCCAATCCCCTCCACCCCAAGGGGTAAGAGTTCAGCCACCTTCCCCATCTGTCCAGTGCTCACTCACCATGTTCTTCATCTTGGGCAAGCGCCTCTGCCAGCAGTTGTAGATGAGCCCCAGTACAATGATGATGGCACAGATAGAGCCAATGATCACCAGTACCACAAAGAGTTTCCCATAATCACTGCGTGTCTGGTTGGAGTGCGACTGGCAGCTTGTAGTGGTTGAGTAATTCTGGATGCCAATCTGGAAGGGAGAAAGGGGTACACTAAATCTGCTGTTCTACAGTCAGGTGGGGTCCTGCTCAGATTTTCTAGGGTCCAAATAAAGAACCATCTCTGTGGGCAGAGGAACTAAAATCCAAGATTGGGGAGTCAGGATGTACAGACTTACATGACTAGAAGGCATTTGATTAAATTTAACACCATTTTCCACCTGACACATCAGCAAATGACAGCAGGCACAATCTTACCTTGATTGCCTACACAAGAATCACACCTATGTGCAAGAAGACAAGGAGGCTTTCATGGCAGAAACTGCTCAAGACTACGAGTACCCAAAACAAACTATGGACCATGGATGTTTATTGAGGCTTTGGTGACTAGGGTAGCAGAGAATGAAACCATAATAAATATGTTTCCTTTAAAGCTCTGGTATAGCAGTCTTTCCAAGGTCTTGATAGTGGACAGCTCTCTGCTGATTCAAAAAGCTGCCTGAGATATGGCCCCTCTGTAGTTGTCATCAAAGCCCAACGTCAGTCCCAGTGACTTGGCAGATTTCAAGCAGGTTACATATCAACTCAATAGTAACTATGACAGGTGTAAGAGAATATCCTCCCCTTCCTCCTTCCAAGTCTATGCGAGCACAAGGTCAGTGCAACGAGCAGTGTTCCATTATTCATAGAGCTGGAGGCAGGTAGTGAGGCTGCTCCAGTAGGACACACCTGGGTCACACCTGCACAGAGAAGTCAAACCTTGCACTGACACAAATCCTTTTTTCTGGACAGTCAGTTCTAGCTGCTGATACTTCAGTCAAACAATTTCTAGAGGCTTGGCTTTTTGCACTTTCTCTGGCATAAGCCAATCAATACAGCACTGAGCACTTAATTTGCTTTGTCTAACTGCATCAGTTTGTTAGGTCAGGGGAACACCTGAAAGCAGTCAGCCAACAAGGCAGTGGCCCAACTCTGCTGCTAAAGTTAGCAGAATTACTCCAGTAGTATAAAAAAAAACCCGAGCAGAATCAGGCCCTCAGTGCCTACATATCCTGTAGGCCTGAGGAGCAACATCAGAGATCATGGGACTAATTTTTCCTCATCTCTATCCTCTTGCAAGCTGACCAGGGTTAGAGGGGAATACGTGAGGGCTTAGAGGCAGCAGGCAGTGGAATCTGGCATCCACTGCCTCTGGTACTCTGCCTGCCCTTGTGTAGGCAGCTGTCTGAAAGAGTGAAATGCAGACTCTGCAGCACCCACAGTGCCACAGGCAGTATCAGAGAAGGGGTGAGACCAAGTATCCCAACAAAATGTATGTATGAAAAGCAGCTTCACATCCAAGCCAGAAAAACAGAATGGGAATAACTTACAGTTACTCCCTTAAATGGGAGCAGACATTTGATGGCCTGGCAACTACCAGAGAGGGGAGAAGGGAGTTTGCCAAGCATCTGACTCATCTGTTTGCCTTCTGTGGGTTCAGCACTCAGACCGAGATACACTCCTGGTTTTCAAGTTGCTTATTTTAATTGTACAGCTAGTCTTAACAAATGGATGCAGGCAGATAGGCTCTTACCTCAGCTAAGCTCCTCTTAACATCCCCCAGTGCCATGAGAACATCTTTTGTAGGGATGACACCTGTAAAGAAGGAGAGATCAGTGCTGCTCTCAGTTCAGGTTAGATCAGATAGATGTACTCATCACTCTGAAATCCCCAACAGGATAGAGGCAGGGGAATACACATTTTTGTTCATTGGTACTTCATGTTAGGAGGCTGAAAGAATGCAAGGACCACAGCAAGGGTACTTCCAAATGTTCTTTAAAGGTGGAAAAAAATCCAGGATCTCATACCAGAGGCACCTAGGTGACCTTCCCACAGCCACAGAAGTTCTCAGGATCTGTGTCTACTCTGGAAGCAAGCAGTAACATCCAAAAAGTCATGGAGGTAGGTGTTTATACTGCCTGATCCAGCCTCTCCATCCAACACAACTTGATCCTGAGCTGCAGCACTCAAGATGTTCTGACAGAGCTCCACACTCAACCCTCAGCAGGTGTGTTTGCTCTGCAGCACACAGATCAAGGGCAAGGTGGCATGTCTGGCACAACAGCTGAGGCTGCAGGAGATGTGCTATGACAGCTCCACTCCCAGAGGAAGACAGCTTCAGCCAGGGAGCCACCATTTCACTCTGGGTCACCCCTTCCTGGGATGTTCCTTCCTCACAGCTCCCAGGATGCTCTCCAGACAGGGAGGATTTAGAGGCTGAGGCCCATTTCTCCCTTCACTTGCACAGCAGTAAAGAGAAGAACTGAACAAAAGCTTGGTTATTCAGAGCAAAAAATACTTTGGTTCCTGCAGTTTCTAAACTTGGGGTATCATCCAATCTGACTATGCTGCTTAAGTTCAGACCTGTTCTCTTCTCCAGGAAAGGGGATATCCCCTCTCATGATGGCATGAAGGTTTTTGTTTAGAAGATCAAATGCTCAGCAAAGCCGTTTCAATGGCACATGCTCCAGCCATGTTGGAAAGGCTTGGGAGAGATGCAACGATTTAAGGCACGGATAAAGCAAGCATCACTTAAATGTTAGCTCTGTTTTCCTGTCACTGTGGGGCATTTTAGAACATTGCTGGGTTATTTTCATCCAGGCCACAATGTCAACATTAGAGGCCTCTGTCACTAAGTAGGCAGCAGAATAATCCCCCTACCATGAGGGGATTACAGAGATGATAAAATGTTCAAGCCCACCTTTCACTGCCAGCTTTTGTTTCTTGGGGAACGCAGAGGAGACATTGTCAGGACTGGCCCAGTCTGGACAAGACTTAAGAAGTGTTAAGACATGAACTAAGACCAGGCTGTCATGTCTGGCCATGGCAGCGACCTGCACTGGGGTAAAGCAAATGGATGCTCAAGTGAAAGTAATTCAGGAAGGGAACAAAGCAGAAGGCAAAGCACAGGAGACAGAGCTTTGTGCCACTGGGAAGGGACAAATTAAAAGGCAGAAGAAGTGTCTTATGTTGGCAGTTCCCACCCATCCCTCAAGTCCACTTAACACTGAGAATTGATGAAAATTAAATGGACTGGAGAGCAAAAGCACCTTTCAAAGTAGCTGGCCACCTCCGTTTGAGAGACCCTTTAAATACATCATGGGAAGGCACCTTTGCCCAGCACTTACCCTGTTCCCCTGCCAGAGTCATCAGCAAGTGCTTCTCGTTCTCATTGGGTTTGCTCAGAGAGATCAGCCAGTGGTCCTGTAGTCCATCCGCCTGTCTGGAGAAAGCATCCTCCACCAGTGCCAACAGCTGGGGACCCCTCTCCAACCGAAACTCCTCCTGTCACAGGTAAGGGACCTTGGTGAGCACACAGTGGGAACAGGGCAGCTTGCAGCACTGCAGGGCTGTCACAGCTGCACCACCGAGACCCCTGAACCAGGCACGCCCCAAAGCCAGCAATGCTAAACCTGGTGCAACACTCCCCTGCACATCCCCAGTGCCCCAGGCTGGACCCACACAAATCTCCTGACATACCAACCATCCTCCTCAGCTCCTGCAGCTCCATAGGCCCCACACAGTGCCAAGCCCAACTCCCCTGGCACACAGGCATCCAGAAGTGACATGATCCTATAAGGCAGGATGGAAGCAGCCAGGCTCTGCCCACAGCCAGTGCCACTCAGCCTGACATGCTCCAGCCATCTCTCGCTGGGTTCCTTTGCTGCTTTCTCGCTGCTGTTTTTCTATTCTTATCTCTGGTTGCCATGCCAACCCGAAGGCCACACAGATGATTAATAAAATGGAGAGCTCTTGTTGCCATGGCGATTCGAAGCACTCAGGGCAGGCACAGGCTTGTGTCAAAAATGGCCTAATTGGAAGAGACTGGAGCCTGAACCAGAAGGGCCTGCCATGCCCTGTCTCATCGCATGATGGGTTTCAGCACAGAGAGGCAGGAGCAGAAGCACCAGGATACAGCACATGCTGCTGGGCTCCAGATCACCACCCTGCTGCCAGCCTGCTGCTCTGTTTTGGGAGATGTGGAGGAAGGGGGAGCAAGAGGAGGACAGAGGTGAGATGTTTCTAGTGACAGGGAAAGCAGAGGTTGCAGAGCACTGATAAATTCTCTGTGGTGAGGAAAAGGGAGCTGTGAAGGAGCCTGAATGCACAGGAGCTGAGATAGAGTTCACCTCTACATAGGTAGCCAGGTACCCCTATCAGGTCAGAATCTGCACTCCTCACTTGGGCAAAATTCCCAGGTATATTGAGTGGGAGATGTGCCTAGAGACTGAAGTGACTGCCTTGCCCAGAGCCCATTAGGGAGAATAATGGGCTGCCAGCTTAACCTAGTGATACAGACATCATCCCTGCAGCAGGTAAAAGCCCAGTGCTATGAAGAATATTAAAGCTCAAGGTGCAACCCTCTGTGAGGGGCTAAGCATCCTCCATGCCCCTTGGCTTTTCTGTGGGACTCTGAACCACACCAGGTCAGAGCATCAAAACACAGGAAATATGTGAGGAATCCCCATTCACACTTAAACTACTGCACTTGCAATGCAGATTCTCCTTCAAAGTCCTGAAAATCCAGACAGGACAGGGCTCAGATACAGAAACCAGAAGACAAAAGGGACAGGCAGAGGGTAGGTGAGTTGCCCAAACTGAGAAAATCAACAGGGCTAGGAAACAAACTGTATCAACACTGGCAGAGCTCGATTTCATCTTCAGCCATGCAAAGTGGTAATGGAAGGCAGAGAGCAAAGCAATGTTCATGTTAAATATGTATGTTGACAAGTGTCCTTTTGAATAAGGGGGAGGACTGTGCAAATCATTTCCTCAGAAATATGTTTTGAAACATGAAATCAAGTAGAAAAACAGTTCAGTCCTGCCTATCCCAGGGCCCTGTCTTCTTTCAGCAAGCCATAACTGAGGATTCAACAGTAGAGACATTATTTGGTCAAGAGACGTCTGCACATCAGCTTTTCAAGTCCCACCCTTCCAGTGGTTTAAACAACACAACTGCAAAAGACCACAGGAAGGAAGATACAATGTAACACAAAATTAACAATCATTTAAACTCCACAGAGATGAGAGAAAGAGCAGTGAAGACTAGGACATGGAGGAAACGGCAGTTGGACTCTGGTTTTCCAAAACTGATTTTAAGTTGTAACTGTGAACTGTAGCAGAGATACTTAAACCCTTCAGAGGGCAAACAGACTTTTCATCTACCTTTAGAGCAGTCAGCATGCTTTACTGTGTATAGGAATCCCCCTGTTTTCCCTGTCCCCAACAAGTTCACCTTAAAAAAAGAACCCATACAACCTGTCCCTCTCAACAACATGCCAGTAGTGGAATAGGTCAGTCACAAAACAACCCTGCAGTAACAAAACCAGCTCTGCCAAGAGCAGGAGCTGCAGCAAGTCAGAGAGCAGACATGAGGCCAGAATGTTTCCTGATGAAACATTTCAGTCTTGGGCTGTCAGACTCGTAATAATTTCTTAGAATTATGAAAGGCACCTTGACCCCAGGCCTTTCACAACTGGTTTTTAAGTGCCTGATAAAAAGCCCAGCAGAGGTGAACAAGCTCTTTTACCAGGGATCCACAAGGGGCTCTGGCCTCAGGAATTAACTGCAGCTTTATGGGGATGGATGGACAGGCATTGGATAAGCAGAGTGTGGCTGTTTAACAGACCCAGATAACACACAAGACAACAGGGTGGGGAGAAGAGGCACTTAAGGAAGATTTAGTGACAGATTCTTGACACTGAACGATTCACACTGCAAATGCAGAGTCCTTATTCCTCTGAGCCAGAGAAATACTGCTATATCCTGGAAGGAGAGGAAGGAAGAGGTAGAGAGGAAAGGAAACTCACTCACACCTTAGACCTGCCACATTTCCTATCAGAAAGGGGTCAAAAGTTCTCATGTCTCATGACAATCCAGGTGCTGACTAGCACAGAGTAGCAGCCAGAAGCTGACTAGCAGTCAAAATTCAACATGGGACTGACATGTGCTAGACTTTGAGAAAAATCCTCTCCACCCACTCTTTC